GCCCGCAGCACAGCCCGCGAGGGCACAAACAACAGCACCGGGAAAACACTTCCTACTCGCAGGCCGTTATGAGGAAGGGACTGAAATTCCTGTTTATTTAATGATTTATAACTCTTAGGTTGTTTTTGTCTTTTTTTTTAACTTTTTTTTTTTTTTAAATAAACTTTTTTTTTTGGTCATTTCACTGTAGCATTCTCCTTTTGCGTTTTCGTACTTCTCTTACATATTTCTCTAGAAGCAGGGTTTGTAGGATGACGAAGAATCGCCCCTCTCTTCACACAGATATAAATTGATAAAGCAGGCGGATTAGGGTGAGCTTCCTTTTTTATATACGTTAAATACTTGGTACGGAGCAAGCTAATTACTTCCCACTGCTGAAACTTCTTTGGTGATGTAACTAGTATCTTTAAAGGAAAAGAAAAGACGGTTCAAATACATGCAATAATTAAAGAGGGGAGTTTTCGAGCGCCGTTCTGTTGTTGGTTTTCGAAACGAGAGCAAACACAAAATACCTATGTGTTTGCGGCTCCCGCGGCTTCAAAATGATGATGCTTTGGTTCGAGGAGAATATGCCCCTGCCCTACAAGTAAAAGTGCACATGAGAAAGTATTGGCTTAAATTGAATATCAGAGACAAGAGAGCAAAATACAACGCCACCAGCTGCAATATGAGCAGTATCAGTGTCACCAAGCCAGACAACATTGGCACTATCTTGCGTTTAATTTCTTGATTTAGAAACTGCTTAGGGGACGAATGGGCGTTGATTGTGAGCAAGCTGGCTTCCCAGCGCAAACAGTAACCACGCTATTTTTCCAGTACTGTTTGAAGGTGAAAGTATGCCCAAGTATTTGCACTTCAATTTGGAGTCATGTTCACTTGCAAGCCATTTGCAGTTCTGCTTAGTGTTTCTGCTCACACAGGGACTCACTCGCTCTCTCCCTCACACACACACGCCCTTCCTCAGTTTCCAGTGCAGAGCCCTGCTAATCACATTTTTCAGCTATGTACAGAAAGGGTTAAGAGTCGTGAACTTCATTATCTGGATGTGTGCTACTAAACTGGAATTGCGCGAAATAAAACGATCTCTGAGCAAACAGAAACGGTGCAGGGTGACAAAAGTAGGTCTGAAGAGGCTGGTGTACTTTTGTCAGCACGCTTGGGAGCGTTTCTGCTCAAAAAGCCAACCTTGCCAGATGTTTGAGCGGATATTTTCTCATCCACCATCTTCTGAAAGCTCTTGAGCTGACCAGGAACCGCACTGCTTAACATTTACTTATACCCAGCTTTGCATTTGGTATGATGGCGGTTTTTTTAAGCCAGGAAAGACAAGAAATCAAAGTCTACACATTGTAAGCACGCAGGGACTGACATTTTTTAAATCAACATACGAACGTCAAATAAAATGACACACATATTGCTGACAGCTTGTAGTAGAAAGATTTTTTATCACTTACCATTTATGAGTTGATTGGATGAGGATGTCCAGTTTAGGTCATAATATTTTACTACGTTTTTCTTTTTTTTTTTTTTTCCCCCTTTCTCTCTCTCTTTCTTTTTTTTTTTTTTTTGCATTCAGTTTGTCACACTGTGAACATCACACAACATTTTATCAATTAATCATTTGTTTACAGGCACAATTATAAATGAATTAGGTTTACATCATTTCCCGCCCCAGTCTCCACCCCACCCCTAAAAAAAAGGAAGGGAAAAAAAAAAAGAAAAGGGGGGAAAAGAAAGAAAGAA